TTGTGCTAATTTTTTCCAAACTGTTGTGAATTTCAGGATCTGGATATGGAGATGATGATTGGCAATGCTAGAGAAAATTGAGCTCTCTATTACTTTGATGATAGAAATTCTTTGTGTGAGCAATCAAATCTTCAAATTTTTGAACATGATTTAATTCTACTAGTGATGAAATAATAATATGGCACTATACATTAGATCATCCTAACTTTCAATAATTAAAATATATGTTCCCAAACTTATTTCTTAAAAAAGATTTATCATCATTGCAATGTGAAATTTACCAATTAGCTAAACACTATCATGCATTCTTTTCTACTCAACCATATAAATCATCTATGTTTTTTTCTCTTATTCATAGTGATGTATGGGAACCTTCTAGGATATTAACTAACTCTTAAAAAAAATGGTTTATAACATTTATTGATGATCATACACGTCTAAATTGGGTCTATCTACTTAAAGAAAAATCTGAAATAGAACATGTTTTCAAAAATTTTTATGGCATGGTTGAAATCCAACTTCAAACAAAAATTTGAGTGTTTTGGAGTGATAATGAAAATGAGTATTTTAATCAAATCTTATGATCGTTTTTCTTAGAAAAAGGAAGTGTTCATCACAGCTTTTACAATGACACTCCTCAATAAAATGTAGTAATAGAAATAAAAAATAAACACCTTCTAAAAGTAACTAGGTCATTGATGTTTACCACTAATATACCTAAATACTTATGAGAGAAGCAATTTATACTACTATATATCTTATCAACAGGCAAGAGTTTTGAACTTTCAAAAACCTCTAACAGTTTTCAAAATATCATTTCCAATATCTTGAGTGACCTTAAATTTACCGTTAAGGGTTTTGCATGTATTGCATTTGTTCATATACATAATCGAAATAGAGATAAATTAGATCCACGAGCAGTAAAATGCGTTTTTCTAGGATATTCTCCCATATAAAAAAGGTATAAATGTTTTGCTCCTACCAGAAAAAAATATTTTGTCACAATGGATGTTACATTTCTTGAGTTTCAAAGATTTTTTAATCCTCCTTTTCAAGGAGGAAACGAAATGAAAACTTGACGTTTGAAAAAGAAAAGAATAGAAAAAAATTTGATGGTTACACAAATAGTGAATTGCAACATTTAATCTTGATATCCTAGATAAGGAAAATGGGAGGTCCACCTTAATGTCTGAACACGAAAAAGACACGAGAGTAATGAATAATGCACGTTTCAATGATAAGAGGTTGTTCGGAAAAATTTACACTAAAAGAAACCCGATTCAAAATAAGAAAGATGCAGCTATGTCTCCTCAAAACAAAGAATTTGATCCAATATCAGGATCCAAAGAATCAGGTACAATCTCTAAGTCTGTAGAATCTGGGTTTTTTTCCAACAAGTGCATTTGTACCCTCTAGATCTCTCTATTGCTCTTAGGAAAGGAACCTGATCATGTAATCAACACCGTTTATCAAATTTTGTGCCATATAAGAACCTATCATCTTCTATGAGCATGAGTCTATTCTAGCATTCAATTGGAGACAAAGCAGGAACAAGCATGAATATGTTTATGTGCTCAGTCCCGAAAACATGGGTGGTTAACCAGAAATCTTTTTCAAGACAATGTCACAGTGCATTTAGCAATTCGGCTGGCATCATCTTTGACCTAGTATTTGAGTTATTAGTAGCTTTTGACATGCTAAACATATTGGGCCAGTTGAAACAATTCTCTTATCACCTTAACTTGATAGCAGACTTCGATTCATCGGAATCCTCGGGTTTATATACTTGGCAAGTCCTTCTTGATCACCTCACGAAAACCCCTCCCTTTAGCCAACTCCATATTGCTAAAGTATTCTGGAAACTGCAGTTCCATAAAAAATAATTGTTTTTGCCTGAACAGTCATTCATCGAAGGCTAAACAGTAACGAGATACAATAAGTCAGTTGACCTCAGTGGCACTCTGTCTTCAGACATCCATGTCATATGCTATAGAGAAGGAGAGACACATTCTAATCTATTCCTTCACTGTAAGATAATTTTGGAAGCTGTGGACAAAACTATCTAATTTGTTCGGTTTCAATTGATTGATCCTCCTACAGGGGGAGGGAAGCGAGCAAAAACCCTGGGCCAAGGGGCGATAGTCACAAGATTATTGAGCATATGGCTTGCACAGAATTTGTAGGGTTTCTTATGACTGATATACTTCTTTCTATAAGTTATGGGGAAGTGTAACTGTTTTAACAATCTTAAAAAAGCCCGTGGAAAATACTCTGACATAGCTATTTCCGAACTCCATGAAAATTAGGATACCATTATTTTGAGCCCACAGGATATTGACATTTTTGTATTATTCTTTTGCTTGTATGGTTGCATTTCTTTTGCTACTTTAAGGAGAATGTCTATTCTCCGTATTTGTATCTAAGCTAAACAAAATTTCGTTTTCTATAAAAAGAGTTACGAAGAGGAAAACTTCCCTAGTCACTTTTGAAGTGTCTTTCTCAGTTTTCCTTTTCCATTTTCTTTTTCTTTCTGAAAAGGAACAAAATTATATTCTTTGCAGAGCATCAAGAGGGTGTCACCAATAGACAAAAGAAAGAATGCAAGTTAAGAAGCAAATATCTTTGGGTTACCATTCAGCCATGGCTTGAAGAGTGAAACCAAAAATCTGAAACCCTATTCAAAGGGAGATTCAATACCTCAAAAGTTCTCCAAATAATGCAGAACATAGCTAGACGAAACGGAACAATCACTTGTCATAGTTAGGAAGAATATACAAATACCTAGAAATGTTTCTTTTCATTTTAATTTTGGATTAGCTGTTGCTAGGAGTACCAGGCACAATTAAGGCTGGAATGCCAGCTGTACCATACCTAACAGAATGTACTGCACCACACCAGGTATCACCATAAATACCCGCGATAATGATTAAGGAATTATCAGAAAATATCTAAGAATTAGTCTATTTTCTGTATATTTTCTCTCTTTCTGCTCGCTCTCTTTGCTCTCTACCCTGACTCCTTCTAGCTTTCCTTCTTCCCTCTCTTCCTCTTATTCACCAAAACATCCTCAGGGTAACTCTGGCTGATCCATGAGTCACCAGTCTGAAATGATTTTTACTCTTTCTAAGAATTTTAGAGTAGCTATCTTTTCTTAGTCTTTGCAAGTATACAAGGCAGCTCTAGATCAAAGAAATTTGGTATACCATGAGATATAAGGAAAATGTAAATTCTTCGTAAAGCTTCTTGAAATCTAATATATTCTTCACCATCCTTAACATGAAATGGTCATCCTCTTATCTTTGCTGACGATTTTGGTGGTCATGTTGATATTTTGATTGATTTAACTTTTTGCAATCGAGCCGAACCCTCTCGGTGCAATGCTAATATAATGTTTCTCTCTCAAAAAAAAATTTCTTTTAACATAAAAATAAATGTTGTAGATAAAGAAAAGAAAGAGGAGGAAGAAAGATTCAAAATTTTTGAACAGTAATAAAACAAATCCCCTTGACCAACAAAAGCAAGAAACTTACAAGGTCAGGAAAATGCAAGCCTATTGAAACAAGTAGTCTTGCTGCTGCCCTTTGCCAGTCAGCATTTAGTTCCTGCATCAGGTAAATGCTTAGCAATTTGTAATAGGTTACTTATCAATAGAATAATCGACAACTTATTGCTGGTATAACCACAAACCAAGCATGTGAGACTTCAAAAATAATGGTCTCATAAGTCCAGAAATAATCACTTTAAAGGAAGCAAATTTTTATGGCAGTATATGATTCAGCATAGTGTTTAAATTTTTTTATCTTGGTGTTAAGTATGCAAGGATAATTTATTTTAAATCCAACCAGACCATAGCAAAGTATTCACTACATGAACTAGTTTACCTCAAATTCAAAAACTTATCCCCTTTACACGTCCATAGCACATAAAGATAATGTTAAAGAAAATGATAAATTAGTGTAAAGAGTATAAGGATAAATTAATTGTTTATTTCCTTTTCTATCCCAGAAAGTCTATATACAGAGTTATAATATTCAATATAATACTCATAAAACTATTTTTAACATAGTATTAGCACTTATGTGTTAAAAAAAAAAAAAAAAACCCTAAAGGGGTCAAGCCAACCTTCATAGCCCGCCACTGTAGACCAGTCATTGCCACCAGCCACTAGTAGCCAAACTGGCCTTCATCATTGGTGCCAGAGTCCTTCAGTCATGCATCCAGTTGCATGTGCTTCAGTCCAGTGGTGTTGTCTACCTAGTCACTCACCTTCCTCTACCACAGCTGCTGCCCCTGCTGACCTTCATCACCAAGAGCAACCAAAGGAAGTATAGCCACCAGACGTGACCTTCTCTGCAGCCGCAGATTGTTCAGACATGGCCGCGACAGACACGATCGTTACTCTGACGCGACCATACCACCAGACATAAGATGCGAGCCATGGTGTCAAACAGCCACTCGCTCCTCTGCGCCACTCTCTCTCCTCCAGGAACAGGTCTAATTCGGACCTGCATCAGGTCTGCCCAAGCCTGCATGAGTCACCTGTAACAGTGACTAGGCCTGCATCAGCAACCATTTGTCTGAGCCTACATTAGTCCAGGAGGCCTCCCTGTTAATCACTTGTACCAGTGGGACCTCCCCGCTCCAGAATCCACCCTGAACAGCTGCGTGCTCCACACCACTAGCCATGCCCTGTCCAGCAGCACCGTTGTTCCAGCCACCAGCATTAAACCCTAGCAGTGCCCAGCTTGTTTTTCGAACATCAATTCAAAAATGTTGGAGGTTATATCTCACTCCACCTGTTCACACTTCCATACGGGAAGCATCACCAACAAATTTCAGCCGATCCAAATCTCCTACTGCTTCACGGTAAAAAACTATCTGAGTTGGTCTCAATTAATTTGAACTACCCGCAAGGGAAACAGTAAACTCAGCCATCTTTTTCGTACCGGACCAAAACCCAAAGACCCCACATTCGATGCCTAGGATGAAGAGAATTTCATGATTATGGCATGATTCATCAAAGAAGGGAACAGATCAATTAGTGAATATTCTAATATGTTAAAAACCCGGTGGCAGGAATAGAGTAAATACCACAACCTAACTATGGATTGCAGTAGAAATGCAATACGTATCAAAACGTTTGTAGAAAACGACGGGGTATATTAATTTCTAGCATGATTAAATCCTAAATATGATCAAATACAAGTCCAAATTTTGGAAAAAGAGGAAATGTCATCACTCAATGAGGTAATCTCCATCGTAACATAGGAAGAAAGTAGAAGAGAGGTGATATTAGAACCTCGTTCCACCAATAGTTCAGTTTTGATCTCATAAAATTCCAAATCTTGCCAACAAACAAAGGAAGTAGTAGGTCACTTTGATAACTTAACTCTGAGAGCAGATAACTGGAACAATCTTTGATGTATTTTTTGAGAAAGTGCAGACATAACAAAGAAAGTGTTAGAAATTGCATGGCAAATCTAATACCTCTAGTAAAGTGTGGGGATATAGAACTCTCTCACAGAAGATTCTCAAACAGGTTCATATGGCTAACCAATGGGAAGAAGAATACTTGTCGATCTCACTGCTTTCAAAACCAAGATTAAACGACTGTGAAGTCAATTGCAAGTACTATGGGTCAGCCCACAGGTATAAGTATAATAAAACAATCATATATGCTTTCATTTTCACACATTTTCAAATGTCTTGGATAAACCTTTTGAAAATTCTTGAAACCACAAATGATATGGTCAATACTTCTAGACATTTTTATATATATGTTACCTATCCAAGTAATAAGAAAATTATCATTGCAAATGGTTCCCAAAATATTACTACAGCCAATAACAACATTAAACTTAGTCATACTTTTGTCCTACAAAATGTGCTACATGTTTTCAAATTGTATACTAATCTTATTTCGATCAATAAGATATCATAAGACTTGAACAGCAAAGTAACGTTTGACTTTTCAAAATGTGACTCTCAAGACCGAAATTTGGAAAAAATGATTGGACACGGTGAAATCAAAAATGAACTATATTACTTGGATACACTTGAGGGATCCTTTTATACTATTACTACCGACCCAACACAAGATTTGACTTCACTATAAAAGTCTTGGACACCCATAATTATTCATTCTTGTACATTAAATTTTCTTTATTGTTTAAAAATTTGGGATATGAAATTGATATCTGTAAATTTGCAAAATATAAGCGTGTAATGTTCCCTATTAGTAATAAAAGAAGTTTACATTTTTACTAATGCACAGCGATATTTGAGAACTAACTCACACACTAATCTTTCTGAAACTCAATAGTTTATGTCATTTATTGACGACTGCATTGGAGTCACCTGACTGTTTCTACTTAAAGTCAAATATGATATTAATAATATCATACCACAGTTCCATACTATGATAAAAACTCAATTCAAAACTGACATAAAAAGATTCAGCACCGATAATGTTAAAAAATTTTTAATCACATCTTTCATCATTCTTTCATGAAGAATGAATTCTTCATGAATCATCTGACATCCACACTCTACAACAAATAGAGTAGCGAAACACAAAAATAATCAACTTTTAGCCACCACTAGAGTTTTTCTTTTCCAAAACAATGTCCCAAAACAAAATTGGAGCAAAGTCGTCCTTACCGTCACCTATAGTATTAACCATCTGCCCACTAGCATTATTGACTTCACAAGTCCTCTGGAAACACTTTAAAATTTTACACAGTAGTATCACAAATCATCTGGTCTCTCAGATGTTTTGGTGTACTGTCTTCGTTCATATTCATTCCTATCAAATGGGAAAACTTGATCTCCAAACCCTTAAATGTATATTTATGGGATATTCTTTCTTTCAAAAAGATACAAATATTATCATCCATCTACCCACAAATTTTATTTATTTGCGGATGTTATATTTGTTGAATAAGAATTCTACTTTATCCAATTTCATCTTCAGAATGAATCTCTATTGAAAGATAAAGATATAAAGTTCTCAACGGACTTTACCCTACAACCTTTGTCACACAACATTATTGACTACTAGATTTTATTAGAATTCTAATAAAATAGTAATTTCGTTATTAGTAGGTTAAGAATTCTATAAATATCTTATCTGTAACAACCTAAAAGGTAAAAAATAATTTTTTTTTTTTCTCCAAAATCAACATAGTATCAGAGCCAAATAAATCTATTTTACGATTTTAATTTCGCAGTTATTTTCAAACCTTAAAATAGCACAATATGCTGAGTTAGTACTTATTCAAATCTACTCTCATCACCTCCCTAGACAGCGTCGAAGACTCACTGTCGGCCTGCCACCCGACTCTGGTTATAATTTATAGAGTGCGTGAGCCACACGTCATCGGAAAAGCTCCATCCAGCCCAAAAATCATTGGAAAGCCGCCAAAAAGTCCCGATCTAAACAAATCTCCCCTTGTCGACATGATCCGGGCTTCTGGTCTTTGTGCACGAAGTCCAGCTTCACAGTTCGCGCGATTTGCTTTCTGGCCTCGTCACGATCTGCTTTCTGGCCTCGCCGGGATCCCCTTCCCTCCATGCGAAGCTGCATGTTCAGAGATATGCCGAAGAAGAAGAAATCGTGTCGAGCCACAACAACCAGATCCGGAAATCTATCCTCTTGCGCAGCTCCTTCCACGCACGTTCAGAGATCTGTCTAGAGAAGACAAGCCTGAGCTGAGCTGCTACCTAAGCTGAGTGAGTCGAGCCGAGTGAGCCGAGCCGAGTCAAGCTCCAAGCCGTTTTTAATCCGAGTTTGGGCCCTTTTTTAGCTAACTTCAAGCCGTTTTTTAGTTGAGTCTGAGCCAACTTCAAGCTTTTTTTAGCCAAGTTTGAGTCCTTTTTTAGCTTATTTCGAGCCATTTTTTAGTCGAGTTCAAGTTGTTTTCCAACTGAGACCAAGCTGTTTTTAGCTGAGTCTGAGCCGTTTTTGAACTGAACCCAAGACTTTTTGTGCCCAGCCAAGCCGAGCCGAATTGCTGTCTGTCAGATCTGGTTCTAATTTGCAGCACTTTTTTGGCATCCTTTGTTACTATTAAAAGGTCTCTTCTTTATTACTTGATATTATTTTTTCCTAAATCTAATACTCTAAAATGACATAAGCAAAAAAAGTAATGATTTTTAATTCGGATAACTCTTCATTATAAATCAGTCCCGTAAACCTTAATGGAACTAATTATCTTATTTGGTCAAAATCTTATTTATTATTTATTAAAATTAGAGGACTGTAGGCGTACACTACAGATGATATGAAGAAACCAGGTGTAGCTAATTTGGAGTATAACATATAGGATTTTGAAAATTCCTTAGTAAATTTTTTTTTAAAATAAAAAGTATAGTTCTATTAACAAAGCACCAAGGGAGTACATCCCATGTATAAAAATCCTTGGTAACATCTTGACTCATCAATTACATGCAATCTCATACTGCACAAACATATTTATTATTCGATATTACAACAAAAATATGGAATGCAGCATCCCTCACATACTCACAAGTGGGTAATGATACCCAAATTTATGAACTCTAAAATAAGTTTCATGGCACAAAAAATGATATATGACTATTTCTCAGTATTTTTCTGAGCTCAATGGATTACAATAGGAACTAAATTATTATCAAGATTTCTAACCACAATGCCTTAAAGATACAGTCAAATTTTAAAAACTAATAGAAAAAGAGCATATTTATAATTTCTTAACTGATCTGAACACCGAATATGATCAAATAGGAATCCAAATGCTTAGTAAGGATCTTTTTCTCTCATTACAACAACCTTATTCTTATGTCCAGTAAAAACAAAGTAGAAAGAATGTCATGTTCCACATAGCACAAGTTAAGAAAATTGGATTAATTGTTCAGTTTGACCAATCTAAAGATCTACGGAAATATGATTATTGTGATAAGCTAAAACATACTAAGGAAACTTACTGGAAGTTGTATGGAAAACCAAGTAGAGGCCATAAGAGAATGAATGGTGGACCTACAAAAGCTCCAGAAAATTTGGGTCAAATAAGTGAAGTACCTAACACACCAGTAGTTTCGTTTTCAACCGAAAAGATTCAAAACCTGAAGCTTATTTTATCTCAATCTAACTGTTCATCAACTATAGGTACATCAAATATGGTAAAATCAGAATCTTCGAACAAGGAAGAGAATTGGTACTACTAAACTGCAGGATAACTCTTCAGAACTTGATCTACAAGTTGGGCATATATGATATTTATGCACCAACTTACATAATCCCAACTTGGGAACTTGTTGACTATTATATTTTATTATTTAATTATTTTACTAGTTTATTATTTAATTAGTTAAAATAATATAAATAGAGTTCTATTAAAATAGTATCTCGTGTAATTAGAATTTTAGTAAAATAGTAATTTCTTTATTAGTAGGTTAAAAATTTTATAAATACTCCAGTTATAACAACTTAAAGAGTGAAAAATAAAATTATAATTTTTTCCAAAAATCAACAAACACAATACCATTACTATAAGAAAACCCTCATAATCCAAAATTTACGAGAAAATTCATTCATTCAAGAGATCATAACAGACCCTACGTATTCTCATATATATATATAAAGAGGAAGATGTCGAGTATTGTGCCCAAGTCAATCCAAGAATCCGACCTTAATCCTAGAACTGAGATAAATTTTGAAGAATTTATGTTGTCTGATAATTATATAACTAGTACACTTTTAAATGTACAAGCGAATGTATTAAACATTTTTTTTATTCTATCTCCCAGTTTGTGACATTTGGTAAGTGTTCAACATCCCATAAAATTTCCTCATAAGTTTGAATACTAAATCTATTTCTAACACAGTATTTGAGATATTATCTTGTAAATGATGAAAAAATACTATGGATATGAAAATGGAAACACTTGAAAAGAATCAGAGATGGGAAATTGTGGATTTATCCAAAAGTAAGAAACTGATGGGATACAAATGAATCTTTGCAATCAAATACAAGGTAGATAGAACAATCAAAAAATATAAATCAAGACTTGCAATAAAGAACTATACACAGATATATGGGATAGACTACTAGAAGACACTCGTACCAATAGTCAAGATGAACATTGTGAATCTTGTTATCATATAGTTGCTCACTTTCATAGGCAACTACAATAATTTGATGTGAAAAATATCTTTTTACATAGAGATTTAAAAGAAAAAATATACATGAATATCTCATAAGGCTTTAACAGAGAAACAAGACTGGATAAGGTATATAAACTGAAAAAAAACATTTTATGAACTCAAGCAACCACCAAGAGCATAATTTGGAAGATATGCAAGGTTGATGATAAACTTGGGATTTAAACAGGCATAAGGAGACTACACTCTATTAATTAAACACTCAAAAGCAGGGGTAACTATAGTTATCCTTGTATACAGTGATAATATTATCATAACAAGAGATGATAAGAAAATAAAATTGATACTAAAACAGTGATTGACAAAAGAATTTGAAATCAAGAAACTAAGTAAATTGAAGTATTTTTTGGAAATTGAATTCACTGATCTAAAATTCGAGATCCTTATTTTTTAGCAAAAACATCTTCAAGATTCCATGGTCTTTCAAAGTTCTACAGAAAGTAGGAGCAATGGCATATCAGCTCAAATTACTCCCACCATCACGTATCTACCAAGTTTTCCGTGTTTCCCAGCTTTTTTGAATACAAAGTATGGTATAATTCACTAATTCAAAAGCACCAAGGAGATGCCGCTCATATACAAAAATATTTACATATCAATTAGGATAGAATATCAATAAAATCCTCCATAAAATGAAAAAGGTGACTCATAACAAAAAAACCCAAGGTTTAGAACCATCTGTATTTAATTCTAACAAAATCATCTTCCATCTCCTCAAAAACTCTCTTATTTCTCTCTTTCCATATCACACAGAATATAGCAAGAGGAATAAGACTCACATATTTCTTCCAACTACTAATCTATTTCGAAAAAAAAAATATTTCTTCCAACTACTAATACCCTTCCATGCCTAGATCTCATCCTTACCAAGCCAACTATTGCTTACCTAATCTCAAATATAACCCGCAAACCATAATCCATAACTTATACACGAAGGGACGCCAAAGCAATATATGATTATAAGACTTTGCCACCCTTTTGCATAGAAAACAATCATTCACCATAATTTTCCCCTTTTGTCATCAATTTGTCAATAGTCAAGATACTCTCACCCCCCAGTCTCCCATGAAAAAAAAAGTAACCTCAGATATAGCATTCACCTTCCATATTTGTCAAAAAGGAAACTTGGGTTCTGCAATATCATTCTTAACCGAATAATTATAATATGACTTGATCGTGAATGACTCAATGGCATTGAGGTTCCATAATAGTTGGCTTTTGCTCCCATTTAAAGATATGAAGGAAAGTATATTTAAAAGAAACTCATATTCATTAACATTCCAGTCATTGAGATTCCTCATCACATTCACATTTCACTCTCTCTCTCCTCCCAAATATCTCAGAATGACTCTTAGACTATGATGTCCTTGTGACGTGCCATAGTATAAATCTCAAAGAACTAGTCTCCGAGTACTCCCACCTCTAAGCCAAGGATCCTACCAAAAGTCAATTATGTCTCCCCTGCCTAAACTCTACCTAATGCATTTCTAAAATTTATACCTACTCATGCATATTTTCTTCCACCTGATGCAATTTTGTCGCTACTTTGGAAAACCAACTTCTACCACAATACTGACCTCTGCCTCAATCACTCTCCACTAAGAGTACTGTTCTCTTTCATGAACCTCCAAAGTTATTTACCCTGTAAAATCATGTTTATCTCCACAAAAGACCTCTATCCCAAACCTCTATGGGTCATTGGTTTTTTGACCTCATCCCTACTTCCTCCTATCTTCAAAATCGCTCCAAAAGAATTTATACTGAATTGCTTCCAATTTCTTGGCAACTTTCACTAGGTTCGTTAAAAGAGACATGTAATAAATGGGGAGGTTAACCACCATACTTTTGATTAGTGTCACTCTCCCCCGTTAAAAGAGTATATTGTTGATGATGAAACTATGGTAGAAAATTTACCAACAAACATCTGGGAGGGCATACTCAGTGTCCAACCTGAAATTAATTTTGCAACATAGGACCATTCGTCACAGAGATCGCGAAGTGGAACAGGTCTTCATCTCCAGATGTGGTACTTCACAGGATGACTACACTTAAAAAGACTATGAGTACATTCATCATCAATTACCAAATCTCAACCTTGAGGACAAGGTTCTCATTTGAGCAGAAGATACGATAAGGAAGCCACTAAAAGTGCACTATAGGAAAAAGAGTGAAAGTGTAAATAGGTGTGGGTATCGAGGGCAATCTTTTATTTCAGTTACGGCATAAGTTTTTGGCTTAATTGGGTTGTAACCATAAGGGCACGCCTAACTGAACCTCCTATGACTATATAAACGGCATATTCATTTTGTATTCAAATTCCAATTCAAACTCTCTCTCTCTCTCTCTCTCTCTCTCTCTTCCCTATCCTTGTTCTACTTAACCGATTCAGTCACGAACCCATGAGTAAGGTCCTAACATACTCCGATGATAATGCTTCGAGTAATAGCAGGAGCCACTAGAAGGCTATTTCTAGTTTATATGCTTCTTTCTTATTCTTGCTCCAATTGCGACTAAGAATTGGTTCTCGGGGTTTTTTTTTTTTCAGGGGAGAAGACCCTTGGAGTAAGAATTCCTTTTTAAGTATCATCCTTCCCAAAAATCTACATACACTGTAACAATCAAAAAATGATCACAATTGCAACCAAATAAACAAGCATATCAATTAAGATTCCATCACTCCACATGCAAAAAGATACTTCCAAATAACGCCCATCCATTAACTGAATACTAAAGATTCACATACATTAGCTAAAGTACATACATCATCTCATATCAACATGAGTTAATACACTTATTGTGAATTTGGAACTGTCCCCGGAATAAAGAAATCACCTTAGAGGAGATAATCTCAGCAGTAGCAATCTTAGCGAGTTTTGCCATAAAACCTTTATCAATATCTCTTGTATCTAATGCTTGAACACTGAATGCCATTACTTGAAAAACCCCAGCCATATTGCCGAAACGCTACCACAGCCATATAAAGTTTAATTACACTCCACAATCTCATTGAAAATTGATATGCATGCTAATAGAAAATCTGATTTCGGATTTAGAAGAAATATAGGGGAACATGACGATGATACCCGCCGTCCTCCTCGTGACACTGCAGAGCAACAGTCAAGAACCAGAAGTGGATTTCTGAAATGGCATAAACATCAACTCAGCGACATAACTCTAGATACAACCATAATATACACTTGTGCAATCATGAGCAAAATACCCACGTATAATATACATTGAAAAAAAATGAGTTTCTTTTCCCTTTTCCCCGTAGAACTAATATGCAACTTTACTCCTATAAACGATACATCACCATCCAATTTCTTAACCAATTGCTGCAAATGTAATAAAAAGAAATCCTATCAATTAAAAGCCACGAAATTTTGAAATTTCCATTTTTTTTCAGTTTTAGTTGGTAACTATTCTAGCAACTACTAATACAAGTTAAAATATGTAGTGCACAAACTATAACATGTTGATTAGAATCTCAGTTGATGAGCGTTTACATAAATATGTTTTTAAAAAAAGCCCACTAAGTGACAGCTATCTCGCAGAAATTTGTAGGAAAACATATATACAGGTTTGTGTTTATCAATGCGATACACAGAGAACAAACGCCCGTGTGTACATATATATATATATATATATAGAGAGAGAGAGAGAGAGAGAGAGCGAGCGAGAGAGATACAGTGCAGCAATGTCTTTAAGCGACGCCATGGAGGCTTTTCTGACACTGGGAGATTCATCGGCGAGGGATGAGGCCAGTACCTGTACCGCCTCTGTACAAAAAGCAATGGAGCAAAGCTCAAAATTTGAACGCAAAATCAAAACACAAACACTGAAAATGAAGTTGAAACAAATTGAAGAGTACAAACTGAAATCGAAGATACCTGGGACCGGAACTGAGCTTGAAGAAGCCATTATACACCTTGATTTTCAATCAAAAAAGCCCACCAAAAAGAAAGGGAAAATAGAGAAAAGAAGAAGGAAAGCAGGAAGCCGACAGCTGGTTGCTATTTCCACGTGGATGAAAAGAACAATTCCAAAGTGAAAGAGGAGAACAAGCGCATGAATATACGCTGATACATATACATATATATAGGTATAAATTTCTAATGTTAGACACGAATCAGATGGAAACGCGAGTTCTTCCGATTTCGCTCTTTCATTTTAGCAAAATGCGAAATTCAGGTTCTTGCTTCTGCAAGAAGATCTCCATCTTCTCGAGAACCCATCGTGATTTCATTTTATTTATTTTACTTCCATCTTCTATTTTGCTTTTATTTTCCAAAGTCATAGTCATAACGGCTTAAGGGATGTTTGGATGACTTTAAATTTTTGCCTTCCGAACTCATTTTTGCAATTACATCAATAACATATAAATTACTTTCAATAACAACTAAAAGTGAAATTTTTAATATATTTATTAAAAATTTAATATGCGTATATTTAAAAAATAATTTAATTTTTTTTTATAAATTTATACATAAATTTTTATTGAATGAGACTTTTTCTTGAAGCATCTATGAATTTCTGTAAGGTGAAATATAAAACACTTCCACAATATTGCCTTTATTTTGACTATCTTTCCGTTAGGTAGCTCAAGCCAGCCTATAACACCTAAGACTATATTACCAAGGCTATATCATAACCAGATTTTAAGATCATCATTAGTATATTAAATTATTATTAATGTTGTATTATATTTTTGCAATACTTTATGATTAACTATGAAGTTATCATAAACATGCAAGAACTTCATTTATGTATCTATGATTCATTGTATGAAATGATTACGAAAAATTACTTAGGTAATTACTGTTTTTAGTTATTAAACAACTAGCTTTTTATAAGTATTAATATCGAAATCAATTGTTAACTTTATTAGTTTATGTTTAGAATAAATATAAGATTTAAAAAAAAAAAAAAGATATATCTTAAATTTATATATAATTTTTTTGTGAGTATGTTATATAAGACTGAAAAAAATTTGATTTATATGAAATTTTATTTTAAATTTTGCTACTCCGATAAAATTTCATTAAGTTGTTTATATTTTATATATAAATTTGTTTGAACTTAAAGTTTATTGTTTAATGTACTGCCTTTTTTCTCTTTTGAAAATAATAATTTTAATTTATTATTAAATTTCATATAAATTTTAAATTATCATAAACATAACTATAACATAATATATAAAAATAAAAATAAATAATATTTACATAAAAATATATGAAAAAAATATTTTAATTAAATAGTAAATAGAATTTATCTTTATAAATATTATATTATTTATTAATTACTAATTAACATCATGTGAATCTAACTATAATGAAAACTAGTAGTTTTATCTCAACATTTAATTCGTCAACGCATTTAATTAACTGGTAGATAAATTAAATATTTAGTTATAATATTTTACGTAACAATTATGTTATCGTATAAAATATTTTAGTTAACCACATAACTAAATGGGTAACCATTGGTTCTTTTGATGAGGAGTTAGTATTTAAGATGAATTCATGTATAACTTAATTTTAAATTCATTCATCTTATTTTATAAATATTATCTAAAAAGTATTTGAATTATCATAATATATAGT